TTCACCAGCATACCCAAGCTTGTTGGGAATCCGTTAAACAACCAGCCTTACCAGCACCTTCTCCGGTAGCAGCCATAAACCCGTTTATACAAATTCAAAAGGAATTAAAACAGAAATACCCCCATTTTTCCGACAATGAACTAATTGTTAAAAGTATGGATTATCTGAAAGACCAGTTCCTCCAATCAGTCAACCAGGATGATGACGCATCCATGAGGTCAGGCACAAGTCAGACTCCATCCGAACAAGACATTGATCCAGCTGAACATGTGTTGGCAGGAGAATCACAATTACCCGAAGATGCTGAGCCCAATCTTGGAGATTTTTGGGATTCGATTACAGCTGTCATCGTAGAAAAAGTTGCCAAAGACAAAAGCAATAAAGGAAAGGGACTCGAGCACTAGGCGTCGGTAGAACCAGACAAAGGACTTTTGTAAAAGCAGATGCTCGCCAACAGTAAAAAGGAGATGCTGCTCCCCACTCCGTCAAAAGATGAAGATAAGATGATAAGATGGAATCTGTCGGCCCAGTCGAAGAAGAACACCTGTCCCCCTGTAATAATTTTCTTATCTTCTTTTGTATTATAAAAGGGCAGTCCTCACCCTTGTTGAGGCAGAGTCAATCGGAGTCAGTTTTATTTTAACTTCTCTTGTAATATCTCTTCCAACCCCCCTCTGTGTAAAATAGTCTTACTTCCTTAATAAAAATTCTCTTTTGTATTTATGGTGTATGCCCTCAGTTAATGCCTTAGAACAGTATTTGTGGTTATTATAATTTTGGCAAAATCAGAGAGAGCATTATCTTAATACTCCTGTAAACCAGTATACACGCCAGTACATTGCAGAGTGCTTAGCCGAGTGTGATCAGCGGATAGCAGACTTGCAGACGTTGATTCACGACCAGATCATTGCGTGGGCGGCCAGTAGGCCTCCACCACCTCAACAGTAAGGTAATGAGGTCATATATGTTGTAATTTGTTTTCTTTATAATTATATTATGTGTGTGTTAATTCCTGGGTTTGTGCTATTGTAAGGTTAATTAATTGTTAAGGTTAGTGGGACGTCACCCAAGTCGCGTAGGGATTAGGTCTTTTAGCAGAGATTGCGTGTGACCGTTTGATGCTCGTAAGTCGTTGACAGACGTGCTAGCCTTGACCTTTAGTGAGCACCTTTATTTAGTAGAGGTCGATCTTTGATCGGGCGAGCGGGGGTGCTCATTTTAGGACCTTCCCCTCTCATACCCAAGTTTCCGAGCCGAGACAATTTTGATGATGACGGACACGTGGCCTTTGGCACGAGTCAGGGTTTCCTAAATTTTTCAAAATAAAATATTTAGATAGCGACTCTGTAATCTGGCAAAGCAGTCCATGTTTGGTGCTTTTTTTATTCAAAATTGATTTTTCAAAACTAATTGCCAGATTTGGACTCTTTGGTGTTTATCAGTCTCATATTGCACTTTGTGAGATTAGATTCAGAATCGTGGCAAGAGTCTGAACTGTAGGACGACCAATTCACGCCTTCTGTGAAAGGGAGGCGCGCGAAGAATGTCGAGTCTACAGAAATAATACACAGCAGAAATAAATAGATCCGGGCATAATTTTTACTCAAACCGAATTTATGGATCATGTGGGTGAATCACGTGCCTTCATTGATATCGTCGAATAATTTCTGGCAGTCGAGTAGAATTATTAGAGAACTAGCTGTACTATTAACAGTACAAAGGTTATTATGTGTTTCTATGGAGAGAGAGGAGAGTGTTTAGGGGTGAGAAAAAATATTGATTACCCGTACATAAAATTCTTATTCTCTCAAATATAATACGTATATTATGTGGGGAGATATAACTAGGGGTGTTCGTGATTCGGTTGCTGCCAAAGAACCTCTAATCTACCATTCGTTCACTGAATGAGCGGATTGGAAAAAATAATCCACACCCGTCTGCCGAATTGATGGATGTGGATTGAACGAATTGGCGGATGAATGCGAATCGGTTTGACGGTTTAAACTTTTACAAAATTTGAACATAATACAATAACTCGTCAACATTTTTTTTGAATAATAATCTAACTCAACATAACTAAAAGATTATCAAATAAATTGTCAAATAACAATAAATACATATAAGAAGATCATGTATTATCAAAATTATTTCATTATTTTTTATTTATTTAAAAACTATTTAATTTGATTGTTAAAAAAAAGGTTGACAAAATTAAGCCTTATATTTTTCATACAAAAATATCAAATATCAACCTTTGCCATTTGATAAAAGATATTTCCAAATTAAAAATAAATTGAAAACACAACAAAATATTTATACTCTTTTTCAATTGAAAACACAAACAGAATATCTAAACAAATTGAAAACACAAAATCTTACAAATTACTAGGGGGCTCGCGGTTTGGCGGTTCGGTTGCGGTTAAAGGAACTTCAAATCCGCCATCCGTTCAAAACTAGGCGGATTGAAAAAAATTAATCTGCAACCGTCCGCTCTTCATCACGCATCCGTTTAAAATGCGGCAGATCGGTTCAATTCGGTTGGTTTGAGCAGATCGAAATATCCGCTGCTCACCCTTAGTTATAACCACCTACCATTCTATGTCCTTAAGAGATGAAATAGCGAGTTATATACACTTATCCTCGGGACAAGTTAATTCAAAATGAATCTCTCTTAGCATGATCTCTCAATGGGTCATGGGTCATGTCACTATAGACAACCCAATCGGGTATAAGTTTTAAATCCGATCTAATTTTTAACATATACAAAATAGAATAGATGTCTATTCGACATATAAAGGCATGTAGTGCTTCAAAAATGTTAGAGATTCTAAAAATTCTACTAAAATTTTTACGGAATGTCTTATATGAGTGTAGGATCCATATGGAACTTACATGGCGTGGGTCCCACACCTATATGAGATATTTAGTAAAAATTTTCGTAGACCTTTTGAGGTCTGTAACATTACTTATGGTGCTTAGACCTAATACTTTGTCTATTTTGACAGAATTTTCTCTCTCTATTTTTTGGTGTTTAGTATAACAAAAAATAAAAGTTAATAAAAAAATATTCCCTATGGTAACGGAAAACAACCTATTTCAATAACCATTGAGGTGCCGCTACAGTTCACCAGTAAGGCGATGGCGATGGTGATGATGATGATTGCTTGAGTAAGTTTGTATTCTCTTTTAAATCACTGTGGGTGTGATGGTGCCATTGAGAGGTGGGTGTGATGGTGACAATGGGAGGTTGGCTTGGAAGGCCTCTGGTTGACTTGGTCTTTGAAAAAATAAAAAAAAATAAAAAAAGAGTAAAAATAGGGACAAATTACCAACGCTTCTTCAAGTTTTGACTAAAATACGTATTTCTTCTTGGAGTTTGAGAAATTATAAATTGTTCTCTAAAGTTTATATTTACATAACAAATGAAGAGATAATTTATTATATAAATATAAATCTTAAGAATAGAATATAATTTCTCAAACTTTAAAAAAAAATCCGTATTTTAATCAAATTTTATGAAGGTGTTGATAATTTACCCTAAAAACAGTTAGAAAGACGCGTTTTAAGATGTGACAGGTACAGCAGTGATTCCACTTGCTGCCAGGCCACTGAATACCCTCTCGACAAGGAAACATATTACCCACTAATAAATCCTCCGACCACTAAAATGGAATGTCTTACCATAATGATAATGGATTATGTCAATATCCGCATCTCATTTCCACGATACTCCTGGTCATACTCTCTCTCTCTCTCTCTAGCAAATTGATTATTTTCTCAAAAGCCACACCACAAAATCTAAAGCTTTGATTATGGTGGATGCCGAAATTGCTTCAATATTATCATCATTTCATTTCAAGTAATGTTAAGAGTCTCAAATATTCTATCAAATATGTTATATAAATGTAAGACTCATATAAAATTCACATAATGTAAATTTCACATCCATACAAAATATTTAATAAAACATTTAAAATTTCTAACATTTTTCTTTCATTTCATAGATGGTGGGGGTGGGGACGTAATAGGGCTTCTTAATTATGGTTTTTAAGAGTTCCGAATGAAGTTGCTTCTCACTCAAATTGACTTTAGCCACATACACAAAACGGACAAGAATGAAGGAAATTCATATTTTTTTAATGCACATATATATTTTTTATTAATAATATATCAATCTAAAAATTATTCAAAATTATCATCCTGTGATTTAAATTTATTTCATATATAGACTCCATATTATATAAATTTAATTTCTACCACACAACTACTCATTCAGAAAATTTTGGGTTGAGAAGTTTGGATTTCCAGACTTAATTGATCTTTTATAATAGAATTATAATAATTTGTGATTCATAAATGAAGTTACACATTTTTTTTTTTTTGGTGATAATGTTACATATTTTTTAACAAAACATTTTTGAAACACAAAATATGAAACATGTTAAAAAAATAACATGGCTTCTATATGGAGCAAAAGCATGAATCATTTTGATAAGATAGAGCGGTATTATAACTCCTAATATATCACTCCTATTTTGACTTGTAATGAAGTGAAAGAGAGGGAAAGAATAGAGAGAGATAGAGAGAGAAATGATGATGAGTGAAGAGTGGAGTCTATTCCACATCATTAAGAGTAGATTAGAGATGCTCAATTAGAATTCCTAAATATTTTTCTGATAAGATAATCTCACCATTAAGTAGCTAGGAATTAGGGGTGGGCACAGCACACCTAATCTGCTCAATTTAGCCTGAAATTTTAAAAGTCTAGAATTGGTATTTAAATCCATAATAAGGTCCCATTAAGCTAAGCTTTTAGACTTGTTTATTTAATGAATTGAGGCTGAGAATAGTTTTTAGCCCAACTTAATCTGATTATTAATATATTTTATATAATTTATATACACCAATGAACATACATATTCATTTTATTTTTGTTTAAAATAAAGAAACACGCCGAATAGGGAAAAAAACACCATTCAAACTTTAAACTTAAGATATAATGAACAAAAATTAAATATTTGTGCCAACTTAACCACAAATATATTTTATATTATTTATATACACCAATGAACATACATATGTATTTTATTTTTATTTAAAATAAACACACCGAATAGGGAAAAAAACACCACTCAAACTTTAAACTTAAGATATGATAATACAGTTACGATACAACGGGTTTCAGAGGGAATGGGTCAGACTGGTTCACGCTTCTCCAACCGATATCTAAATGGCCAAGCCCACCTGAGAACCTGCACAGGAGTTCAACGGGAAACGGGGAGTCCCCCAGCGAACCCCCCGACGAGCAAGTTAGAGGGAGAGAGAGAGAAGTGAAATGTAGAGATGTGAATTGGAGATAAAAAAACTTTACCTTCTTCTTATCTTCAACGTCTGCTTATATCCTTTGGTAACCATTTCGCCATCCCTTCCAACCTGCCACCTTGGCCGAAAGTCTATGCTATAACTTACCTTGTTCAGGGTGAGGGGGTACTGTTCCGACGGAGAGGTATTGTCGTAATAAATGCTGTGATGGACTGCATTAATGGCGATGTACAGTGACAATAACTTTGCAGATCTTTCTCTGTTGATGTGGCTTGTCCTTTGCCTGCTACATGTCTGAATATCCTTGGTTCTTCGTGCCATGTTGGCTTCCAGCTGTTCAGGATCTCATCAGTTGGGTTATGTGTTGGGCTCTAAGTGATGGGCTTGGATTGTTCATAGTAGGCTATGACCTTTGTGGGCCTAACCACGTCAAGATATAATGAACAAAAATTAAATATTTGTGCCAACTTAACCACAAAAATATTATTTTTTTATTTTAGTAAATTTTTTATTTAATATATGGATTTATTTGACAAGTTTTGAAATTGTAATATAATTTTAGGATGAACTTTTAAACAAAAAATTGAGAACTCTAGAGAGAAAGAGAGAACAATATATATATATATATATATATATATATATGTATTAGTGAATTAGGCCCGTGCTTGAATGGGAATTACACTTTATTTATTTTTGTAATTTGTTTTGTTGACTTGAGGTAGTGTTTGTTTTAGTAGAAGCAAAATTCCTTGAAAAAACAATAGACATATGACAAGATTAGGTTTTTATTCTTGGCAATTTCCGTTTGACAAAACTCTTTTCAGTTGTAATTTTATTCGTTCTTTGATTTTCAGTGAATTTTAAATGTGAATCTAACTCGAATTGTGCCTTGCAGAGAAGTTTGTGATGTCTATTATTTCATGTTTGCCACTTCGCTGACTATGTCTGGGATCGAGCTGCCTGGTTAGCTCGCAGGGGTCTAGGGGGCAACACTCATTAGCGAGTCCAGGGCAGCACCCAGGTGGGATTGAGGGGCAACACCCTCGAAGCTAGAAGCAAAATTGCAGTCGAAGTTGCTTGTCCGCTCGAGCGGTCATTTGTGCGCTCGAGCGAAGAATTTTTAGTTCCAGAAGTTTGAACTGTCTGTAAAAGTACTGGAAGTTGTGTTTTTGAGCTCGAGAGGAACTTCCTATGCTCGAGTGTTAGTCTGCTCGAGCGGGCATTCTTGCACTCGAGCGGTGATCGCGGATCAGTTTTCTATAAATATGTGGTTTCATCCATTTTTAGGGTTACGGCTTCCAAATCTTCTTCTTAGATATTAGGGTTTATATTTGGAGCTTCTTTGCTAATTTCTTTGATGTTTGTTTGAATTTAAATCTGGTTTGAAAAGTATACATCAAAGGATTGTTTGTTTCGTTCAATACAAAAGATAGAGTTATTCTTTGATGGATTCCGTGGAATTCGGGCCTGAAACTTTGGTGGATTCTGGAGTGGCTCATCGTCGTGATTCGACATCGGCGTTGTAAATTCAACGTTGGGCAAGACAATTTCGAGGCGAAGACAGGGTTGGAAAAGACACATAGGAGTCGATTCGATTCAGGCGTGGATTCACTAGATAATTGAGAGTACACTTGTGTAATTCTTTTATATCTTCTTAGGCCTCGTTTGGGAACCCTCTCTTTTAGCCAAAAAATTAAAAAGTTACTAAATTAGCCAAAAAGCCAACAACTCATACCAAAAAGTCAAAGATTCTATTTTCTCTCTACTTTTTGCGCATCTTTTCGTAAAAAGTCAAAAAGTCATCCCAAGCATACTAATTTTTTTTAGCTCATATTTTAGCCAAATAGCCAAAAAGTTACTAAATTATCCTATTCCCAAACGAGGCCTTAGTGGATTGTTTTGTGGCTTTTACCTGTGATCTTTTTATATCACAATTGGAGGCGCTCCAATTGTGGTTTTTCCAGGTTAAATCGTTGTGTTGACTTGTCTTTGATTGTTTGATTGTGATTGCTATCTATTCATTAAAATTGATATATAATCACAAATCAATATCTAGAGAATTTCTAGATTTTTTAATTTTCTTATTTGTTCGAGAACAAATAATTGAAGCAGTAGTAGAAGTAGACAAACAAAGGAGGTCGGAACACCTTTGGGTAGTCGACCGGGAGGTGAAATCGTGTCCAATTTTGCTTATAGAGAAAGCATACAAGTATAGTGAGGCCATGGATGAATGACAGAAAACTAACCAAAAAAGTATGAAAGTGGATTGTGTTTTGTGTATGAAAAAAAGAAAAAAAACAGAGTCAAATAGATTGACAAATCTCCTAATGAAATAGAGAAAAAACTTCTTAATCACCACAAACTTTTTTCACTAATTTTGGGAGGTTTCACCATGGTGGGTTTTGTTAGAGTTTTGGGAGAGAGGCTTTTTGGGGTGTGGAATGTGTGGGGGTATACATTTGAATAGGTGGAATGTTTTTACAATGATAATTTTAATATTATTTGGGGGAAAAAAATATTTAAAAATTTTATAATTTATAAATAGGGGTCTAATAAAGAGTTTAAAATAATTGATGTAATAACGGCCCTCATTTGTAATTAATCCTTTTATATACAAAAGAATAAAATAACAAGTTAAATGATAATAGACCCCACTAACAAACAATTCGTCGAGCCAAATTTTGTAACACACAAATGGAGGGCAATTTGAGCAGAAGTGGGTTGCTTATTCTGATTTTGAGAATGGAAGAACTGTAAATAACGCAAAACAAAAGGGCAAAATGAAAAAAGAAAAGTACAAGCCTTTATTCTTTCTTATGATATGTAGATATATAAATAAATGATGATCGTATTACAAATGATTTATTTTGTTAATAAATAAATAAATTAATAATTTTTAATAATATGAGAAATATTTTTAATGAACAGTTTTGATAATTTTATTATTGTATAAAATAGTAGTTAGAATTTTTTTTTGTTTATTCTATTAAATTAAAAAATTTGACAAGAAGTATTTGTAATTTTTAGTATTATAGGACATCTAATATTTTAAACACATCTAAGGAGGTATTTATAATTTATCCAAAACTAAAATATTTATGTTTCATAATTGATCAATAATCTTTACATAATTATGAAAAAAAAATTCATCAAAATTAATATCACTAATATTGATAACTAATACAAAGGAAAGGGCAAAATTGAAAAACTTAAGTAAAAGCTTCCAATAATAAATAATTCCAAACAAAAGGGTAAAATAAAATATAAAAAAAAAACAAAAAAACAAAAACAAAAAGTAAGCCTCAACAGGCTCTTATATATATGGAGATATATTTCTGTGGTTTATGCCGAGCCTAGATCGGTCAATGGCCACCCCTACTAATGCTACAAAAAATTATTCCGTATTTTTGAAATATTATGTAATGTTATTAACATAATAAAAAAATTATTAAGTGATTGTGAGAAAAAAGATAATTCATGAAAGCCTTAAAATGACAACACACGTAGTGACAAATTTGTTATGAACTTCCTATGAAATACCTGTCTCTACAAACGCAAAAAATCCCATTACTCATGAACATATCCAAAGCATCATGAGTTTTGAACTTCTTGTGACAATTTATTCTTTGACAAATTACATCCGTCCTTATATTTCATTTATTGTGTTATTTTAATATTTATACTTTTAATTAATTCGATTCTAACCTTTAATTTTAAATTTTACATTAATTTGGTCTGATTGATAATATCGTTAGTGGTTTTTTTTTAAAAAAAATTATCACTAAATTAGTTAAGATTAACATACTGAGTTGGATAAATTTATAATTTTGTCTTTAAAAATATGACACGTAGCACTTATGTGCATATTTTTCATAAAGAAATGTTAAAAGTTGTAACACATTAACCCAAAGACAAAATTATATATTCAATATTAAAATCGAATCAAATAAAATTATATAAACTAAAATAACACAAGAAATAAAATATAAAAATTACCGTGGTAATTTTCCCTTTATTCTTCATGTTATAGAAAATTCCTATACCTAAAAATCATATGATATCAGCAAACTAATCATACATCAGTTTATACCGAACTATACCAACGAAGGTTCAAAAGCTTGACATGTATCGACTGATATTTAAAACCTTGCTGAGAAAACTACCGCGACAACTTGTTAGGTTTTGAAGGAGTGATCTTGATGACAAGTCCAGGGAAAACATCGTCCGGGTCATGGATATGCGGATTCTCCTCCACGATAAAAGGGTCGCCGCACTTTTCGCTGATCGTGTTGAGAGTTTCGCCTTCTCTGACAACATATATTTCGTCGCAAGGTTGTTGGAGAAGCTGGTTTCCTCTCACAGGTTTATTTGTAAGAGAATTCTCTTTGATAGTACCCAACAAAATGAGTACTACAAGAACAATAGCACAGTACCATGAAGCTGCATCAGCTATGACTATTGATGTTCTCATGGATGAGAGAGAGAGAGAGAGATGGGTTTTTGATAATATACAGAGAGGGATTAAGGAGTTTATGTATGGGAATTGTGGAAGAGTTTTGAGGATTAACCTTAGCATTTAAAGGCCTTGTTTAGTTTGTTTTTGAGAAATAAATTTTGGAGAAAATTTTGTTTGGTATTAGTGTTTTTAGAAAAAAAAATTTCAAAATCACTTCATTTCTCTTACACGTCAATCAATTATTTTTTTTCTCTCATCTCTCGTTTTCAATCACTTTTTCTCTCACATACATCTACTCAATTACAACAAAATATCAAATCATCCCAAGCTACTATACTCCAAAACTATTTCCAAAAAATATACAACTAAACAAACTAAAAAAGTTTCTAAACTCTTTCTCCAAAATTTTTTTAAAAAATTTATCTCCCAAAATCAAATCAAATACATCCTAAGTGTTCGATAAGTCACTTTCTTTGATCTCATGAAATTACATACTTTTCTATCTTCATTCATGTTTTGATGTGTATTGATGTTCTCTTATCAGCAATAATAATGCAATAGAGGACGCATGAAGGTTAAAATTCAAGAAAGTCCGCTGCCAGTAATGGACAAACATATACATAGAAAATTGAGAAAAATGTGAAATTTGGCACTTTAGAAATAGACATACAAGTTTATCGTATTTACTTTTCTTTTCTCTTTCCTCCCAACCAAACATAACATTAACATTGGAGTTTTTGGTGCCGTTTATATAAACGACTTAAAGCTTTTCTTTACTCTAAAAGTTTGTATAACACTGTTTGTGTAATTTTGTTTGTAATTTATTAAGCAGAAATAGCTTAAATAAATTTTTTTAAGAAAATAATTTTTTAGAAGTTGGGAAGTGTGCTTTTGCATTTGTTTTCTATTTTCTGATTATCAAGTTTTAATATATAATAAATTGCACCAAATACCTTCTGAAAAAACACGAGAAAAATTCTAAGGTAACTATTAAATAAACGTCATCATCAAAAGGTGGTATGATTATCTAATAGTAAATTACCATGCATCTAATAATAAATTACCATGCATATACAATGAAAGGAGAATTTCCATAAGGTAGAGAGTAAAAAAATAATTTCAAAGTGATAGAGGTATGAGACTTACTCAATTTAATGTATAAATCACTTGTATTTTTATCGCTTTAAAATTATTTTTCTTACTCTCATTTTTTTGATATTTTTTCTATAATTAACCCTATTATGTCGATTAAATAATTATTGAATTATGTGAGATATTATTTATAGTTGAGTTCATAATTTATTATTTTATCGCGATATCACATATCGATGATGACATCAGTATATACTATAACATGAATAAATCTCAACCAAGGTTAATATAGGTGTCAACTTATATTTGTTACACTAACATATATCTAATTTTTTTTTTGACTCATCATTGTGGATGAATTGATGAGTTTAAAATTTGAAATATATAGCATTTCTGCTATTACATATACACATACATAATATATAATATATATATGAGACAGAGAGAGAAAGAAAGTTTGTGTGTGTGGAGGGCTAAGGGTAAATTGGAAGTTTGGAGTGTTTGAAGTTGAAAAGAAAAGGAAGGGAAAGAATGTGTGAGGGATGAGAAAGAATGTGGATCGGGAGGCCATTTGCGTGAAGGAATTGTGCACTCTCCCACACCCCAACCTTCAAAATTTTGTAACCATCAAATGCCCACCAACTAACCAACAAACCTAACACATAGGGGTTATACTATCAATAATATTAATAAATCAGTATTGGGAATAATCATCCTATTATGTTTATATGATTTAAAAAATAAAAATAATACATTCCATTATTAAGTACATGGTTGCCGGTATTTCAGACTTATATAATAATTTACGAAATTTATGTATAAATTCTAATAGGTGGATCTATTGTCTAATAGGTTTTATGATAATTAATGGCATTTTTCATTGAAAACTATTAAAAAATATTACTAATTATTAATTTTCAACGATAATTTAAAAATTATCACAAAAAATGTCACTAATGATAAGTTTTAATGATAGTTTAAAAAAATCGCCACAAAAAAAGTTACTAATTTTCAACTTTCAACGACACTTCAAAAGAATTCGTCACAGAAAAATGTAAATAATTGTAAGTTTTAGCGACAATTTATAAAAATCGTGACAAAAAAAATTCAGTAATTGTAAAAATATTATTTTTAGTGACAATTTTATTAAGACTTACTTTTCATAGAACTTTATAAAAATTAAGTTTACCTATTAAGACCTATCAATAGTTTATCCTAATAATTTTTGCACCATAGTTAAAGACGAAGATATAAATAAGTAATTAATTTGTGTTTCCAATGCAAGTAAAAATTATGATACAATACAACTCTTATTTGCACCCACTTAAATCTTTATAAATGGACTATTATTTTGGGACGGAGGGAATAAAATTTATTTTAAATTGTGTTCACTAAAACACAAAATTTTCATATAAATAATATAATGTCGCTATTGGGACCATATATGGGCATGAAAGAAAGCATCATTTTTTTCCACAGTTTGGGGCTTAGAGACTGAAGTCGTGGACACACACACACACACACACACACACGGACAAACACAACAATCCTTCAATTTGTATTTGTATGGTCCCTCGGAACTAGTCCAACGGTTAATTAAAAAGAATAATTAAAATTATAATTTAGCAATGAACATAGCAAAAAGTTATAGAATAGTAAGGGGTTGTTTGGGATGATCTAAATAAGTGCACTTTTTGACTTTTTATGAAATATGGGTTGGGTTTGGGTTGGGTTTGAAGTCATGTGTTAGAGAGGCGATGTGATTTAAATAAGATGATGTGACTTAAATAGAATAATGACTTTTTAACTTTTTGTCTTTTTTCAAGTATACCAAACTTGGCCTAATATTACTCTACTGGTGAAATTGTTATTATTTAACTTAATCGAACGACTGTTCAGATGACAGGTGGGTTTCGAAATTCTACATCTTAACACTTTCTACAACTTCTATCAAATGGTCGACCACTGGTCTCCCAAAATTGTTACACTGACAATTTTAAATATAGATAAAGCTGGTGTCACAATTGACGGAAGATATAGTAAAGATATAATTTATCAGGAGTATAATTTAATAGCTCTGATAACTCACCGTTGGAGATAAAAAAAAAAAAGTAAACTCCTTACTATTTCATAGCAGTAGCAACTCCAATATCTCACCGTTGGAGTTGCTCTCAGATCACACATACAAAAGAAAATGAATGTGTATTCTTCATATTGGATGATAATGAAGTTCATTCTTTCTTGAAAAAAGTCTAGAGAATCAGAAAAAAAATAATAATAATAATAAATAAAATAATAATAATAGTAATAGTAATCTCAGAATAAGAATCAAAATATCAAATTTATAGTGTAGATTTAATCTTTTTATTGGGAGCTCACTTCATGGATGAAGCTCAACCATTAATTTCATATTTTGGATAAATTCTTGATATATTTTTCAAGATTTGTAGACACACAGTTTTTTCTTGTCCATATGAGATTTTGCCTGATTTTAATTGGATCCTACTCTGTCTGTGCTATGAACGGTGGGATTACTCTCCCGAATAATAATAATAATAATAATAATAATAATAATAATAGTAATAATACTAGTCAAAATGGTCCTAATCCAGACCGGGTCCAAATTTGAGCTATAAACCAATTAAAATAGGAACTGCTAAAATTATTATGAGTTGCCTATTTGGATAGGATATATTTCGAGAGAAAATAAAAGAAATCCTTCAAATTACTATTTTAAAAATTAAAAAAGAGTAAAATAAGGAGTAGGGAGAAATATTTTTGAGAAAAATACTAATAAATTCCATATCCCCATCTTATATTCCAATTAGTCATTTTCAAAATCTAATGAACCCAATTAAGATATTTAAACTCAATTCGTGTTAACTCTTTAAAAACTCATTTGATAAGGATTCATTATTGAAAGTTCATTACAATTTAAAAATATTTTAAAATTCGTTAAATTTTCAAGTCAAGTTTTAATAACTTAAGATTCGGCTCATTTATGTTTCTAGTCTTTAAAAACATTTCTTTTGTTTTTGAAAAAGTCTACGAACACATAAATCAATTACAAAATCATATGCAACTCTTTCACATGAAATAAGGTTTAGTTTTTTGTGAGTAATTGTATATAATTTTATGATTAAAATTGTGCAGATAAAAGAAATATATATTTTTTATTTTATTAGTTTTCTCAATAAAAAAAAAAGATCAAAAAGAAAAAGAAAAAGAAAAAGAAAAAAAATAGTAATCAATCGACTTTTATAAGGATATATAATATCGAATCCAAATTGATCTATTTTGATTTTTTAAAAAATAATTAATGAAATATATTGATAAAAAATACAATTTAAAAGACTTTTTTTTTCAAAAAAATAAAAATAAATAAATGAACATTTACACACAAGTCTTAATTTATGAATCACCTTGTGTGGGAACAAATTATTTTAATAATTTTTTATATTTTTATGAAAAGATGTGCAGAAAAAAAGAGAGAATACAACAACTTTGAGTGACTTTTTGACTTTTTGGCTAAAATAGTTACTCCCCAAATGAGACATTATACTCCATTAAGTTGTAACTAAGATTTTTTAGACCTTTAAGTCCCATTAAATTTTTAATAGTCGAAATTACCCTTCAAATAGTGGTTGTTCATAATTTATGATTATCTATAAAGGTAACATGATGATTTGACATTTACTTTGATTTTTAAAATATCAACTTTCAAATTAAAAAAAATAAAATATATATATGTGCAAAAAAAAAAATTTTTTTTTGAAAAAATTGAATTATTTTTGTGTGCAAAATTGAAAATTTTGTGTCTATGAACGATCATGATGATGGAACATTGGTTCGCAAAACAGAAAAATAAATTAAAAATAAAAAAAATTAATAATATTCTCAGTTTTAAAACTAGAAAAAATTGT